ATAAAAGCAAAAAACGGGCACTATATAAAATATATTTTAAAAAAACTAAAAAATAAAAATGTTCGGGCTCGGTCTATTTTGGGGCACGTTCATGCTCAGTACCGAGCGTTCGGGTTCCGTCACCGAGCCCGAACGTGAACCCGAACGCGATGCTACACAGATGACGACAATGCTGCATTATCATGGCCCGCGGCCACTTCGTGATGTGTCAGCCTCACACTGCGTGTGCCCAGGGCGCAACCACATGCATCCTGGGCTCAACTGCTTGACGCAGCTGCGGCTTCTGGAAAGAGCCCAGGGTGAGGCCCAGGTTGCACTTCAACCAACTGGTGTGCAGCAACTGTCCGATACCCACATTGGAAAAATGTCCACATTGGAAAAATGTTGAGATAAGGGCCTCTCGTGGATATTCAGGCCCACCTTCACTTATGGCGGGCACGAGGCTTGCTGGGGGCCACAGTCCACAACGTGTGCATGTTGTCTAGGGCCCCATGAGGACACATTCCTCACAACAACAACCAACCCCACTTCCATTATGCAGGTACAAATACATCAAGTTGTGTATAAGAGGAACAATTCGTTACGAGTCGTTACTTCATGCGCAATCACCCATTACCGTCTTCGCCCGAATAGAACGGCCCATCATTCTGGCTGAGCATATGGTAGGTAGGTAGGTAGGTAGTGAGCAGTGTAAATGAGTGAAGAACATAAACTGGTAAAAAAAAAGGATAGATCGGAGGAACTGAAGGTGGGAAGGACATTTGGCCTCTTTCTCATCAATCCTCGGAAAACAGAGCACAAGGACGGAGATTTGAACTCACGCAAGCACAAGGCACATGCCCGTTAGCGGCGGCAGGTAACACCCACACTTAGAAAACACAGCAAAGCGCGTGCGCACACATACACACGCCCACATGCTGTGTGTTTTTCCACGTGTGTGTGTGCTTGCGTGCATTCGTTCGTTTGTGCTTGCGTGCATTCGTTCGTTTGTGCATGCGTGCGTGGGTGGGTTGTCATGTTCGCTATACACAACTCCACAAAAAGAGCATGACTAAGCCAGACTGTTTCGTTGGACTTTCACCATCTCATCAAGAGGTTGAAACCCGACAATCTGCCCATGATGCATTTGCACGCTCACGTGTGCGCATGCGCCCATGCGATGCCATGTTCGCTACACACAACTCAACAAAGGCAGGCATGCCTGCAAGAGAGAGATAGAGGGAGGGAGGGAGAGAGAGGGTGTCTTCGACCGTGAGCAACAACCGTCGATCGCACGACATGCCTGAACGCTGCAGCACATTGAGGGATTTGCACGCCTAGAGTCGTTTGTCGCCTTCGCTAGATCCAGTAGAGGCCTTGGACTGGAGTAGAGTGAGTCCACTGCCCTGCAATGGGCCAACGGCCAGCAGGTGCCGGTGCGGTTCTTTTACGAATGTCCCTCCTTTCAATGGGCGCGACGATCCAGGGCACCCGCAGTCCTACAGGAAAAATAGCTCGGATCATCCCACAATCTTAAGACTTTATGATCACGGTGGACAGCCTAGATTGTCGTGCGATCTTAAAGTCTTACTCAAGATCACGCGGAAATCCAGACCGCCAGGCCGATAAGACCGCGGGCGGCACAGATCGCCCAATTCTCAGGTTAGCAATTTCTATAAGTGTAGGGATGATAGATAAAGTTGAGAGGCCAGCGGGAGTGAAAGGATTCACAGGGTAGACACCCAGTCCCGGTCCCAAGGTCCCAACAAGTCCAGAGTCCAAGGGCTGTCCCGTAGGATAGGTCGTAGGGTCTAGAGGCCAAAGCATCGTAGGTCAGTAGGTGTCGGTACCGCAGCATCATAGGTCGGTAGGAGTCTGTCCGGTACCCGACAAGAAAAGCCCAGAAGCATCCAGTCCAGTCCGACAGGCCCAAGTCCATTTTTGCAGCATGTCCCAGGAACGTCCCGAAGCTACCGGACCGCCAAAATGTTTGCAGCAGACAAGCCGCGCCCGACCAGTACCGGTCTGAAGCAGGCCAAGCCAAGCCAAGCCAAGCCCGGCGAAGCCAAGTCCTATATTTAGCTGCTACAGAGCAGCGGCTCATCGCTTGTTCAGTTGCGAGATGCGGAAGCGCTGCTGCTGCTTATGCATTAAGGCAACTTGGGCACTGAGCGCCTGAAGAAGAAGAGGGCGCTTGAGAGATGCTCCATAGCTAGGCTCGCGGTAGGGCAGGAGGACGGCGGCCATAGCCGCCAAGGTGTAAGCTACCTGAGTGGGTGTATCCAGGGTAACAATCCACTGTAGAGAGAGAGAGAGAGAAGAAAGAGTAGAGCGAGTCAAGTCAGAGAGAGAAGCAAGACTAAGAGAGAGAGAGAGGAGGAGAGAAGCCATAACCACTATCTGGTTGAGATCCGTTGTGCATGTGTGCGCGGCAGAGCCGCTGGAGACTAACATTCTTGTATCTGATAATAATATTGGAGACGACATCTTCAAGAGTTGATTGTATCTCGAATTGGATTCTCAAATGTGATCTCTCATGTGAATGTTCATTGATGTATGCGAGGTGGAACTTGACGACTACTTGCCTCATTTCATTATTCATTTTTTAAAGAAAGAGATGCACACAAAGTATGACAACCGCAGCTAAGCATTGGCAGGGGATCCAGGGGCGGATGCTGCATGAAGCGGATTACAAACAACAAGGAAGCACCAGCAGTTGCAATCCATAATACGCCTGAGCCAAGAAACTTTACCACTGGCAATGGATGGTAATGGATTCAACGAAAGGGAAAGCAGTCCAAACCTCCTTTCATGCACGCAGGAGGGGCCAAACGATGAACCATATTGTCAAGACAAGCAGCACAGTGCAGGGAGAGGCAGAAGATAAAAGCCACAACTTTTCAGCACCAAACATGATTTTTATCTTCATTACTGCACTTTCTATTAAACGACATCCGCTTATGAAACCACTGCCAAAGATCACTCTTACCTACCACCACAACAATACAGAAGGGAAAACAAAAGTGCATGTGCAGCAGTTTTAAGATTTCAGGGTCCACCATACAACCAATCAACTGCCCAATCAAGAAAAAACAAAAGATAAGGGAATGTGCAGCAGTTGTAAGATTTCAGGATACACCATACAACCAATCAACTGCCCAATCAAGAAAAAACAAAAGAACAACAACAAAAGAAAAGAACTGTCAACAACCTATTATCAAGTTCATAACAGACTTCAGCATCCTCCATACAACCAATCAACTGCCCCCCCCCCACCCCCCCCAAAAAAACAAGGACAGCAAAAAAGAGTTTAAAAAACCGACAATGACCTATCAACAGAGGAGGGAGCTCACGTATATTACTACAACTTCAAAGGCTGACGAGCACGAAGCATCACCATCATGCTGTCAATTATAAGAGCTGCTACAAAATTTGTGAATGACTGTGTGCGTACTCACTGCAGTGATGCGGAAAGACTTCTACAAGGAGAATGTGAATGACTGCAGTGATGCGGAAAGACTTCTACAAGGAGAATTGTGAACGACTAAGAGCATACTCAGACCAAAACTACACCCAGGTTCATTTGGCGAACTCCTAGTACGCAGCTTCATTTGGCAAGCTCCTAGTGCGAGTACAAAGTTGTTGGTCCAGATTTGAATGCAGACAGAGATCCATGTCATATGCATCCCCACATAAATCAGGTTCATGCTATTCTAGACTGGCACACAGGCTGGAGCAACAGCATTAGCAACAGCACAGGAGTGGAAAAGACAAAGACTCATTTTCCACTGCTCTGTCCATTACTTCAAAAAATAGCATCTAGAAGAAGTGCATCTGGGAAAAGGCATCTTGCATTAGCAACAGCACAGGAGTGGAAAAGACAAAGACTCATTTTCCACTGCTCTGTCCATTACTTCAAAAAATAGCATCTAGAAGGAGTGCATCTGGGAAAAAGCATCTTGACAAACAGCATTTGGAAGAAGAGCATGTAGAAAAATGGCATCTTGAAAAATTGCACAAGGTTACGCCCGACGCACACCAAAATTGCATGATGCCAGCACAACCATAGCCATGCATATAGAGTGTTATAGACCCCACGACCTCACCATATTAGCGCTTTCCTTGAGACATCTAGCCTTCATGAAGTTCAGTGTCCTGGTGTGAGTCGATGCTAAGCCTTTTTTTTTTTTTTTTTTGTTAGAGTAAATGCTAAGCCTAGTACGGCTCTGACACACCTTGTTAGACTCTATCATTAAGTGGAAAGGCAGCAAATTTCGCAAAATGCAATTTGGAGGCCACAGATTCTGGGTCTCTCATAGGCATCCACAGGGACAATCTAGCCAGGCCATCCTAAGCTCAGGGTGGACAGAAAACAGCCAGGCAATAACAGTTACTTAATTTGCAAATTCCCCCCCAGCCATAACTTCACTAGAAAATTAGTAGAAATTAATACACACTTGCCCCATCATGCCGAGCATATGCACTCCGGTCATTATAGCCGTATTTGGTGCAATTATAAGTCAAAATCCAGATATAATGACCAGGTGGCCTATTCGGGTGAAGACGGTAGCCCAGTTACCTATCACCTGCATTTTCAACCATGGACTCTAACCGCATGCTGGCCGCATAACACAGCTACACAGACTCTGTTACTCATCTCCTGCATTCAGAAGTGCACTTAAGAGCATGGATACCACCCTTCTCCACTCAGTAAGGGTCTCCATCCATGCTCTTAAGTACACAGCTACACAGCCTCTGTTATTCATCACCTGCATTCAGAAGCATGGCTGCGAGCGTGTAGCTGAGTGACCATTGTAAGCGTGTACCCTTACCCTAACAGAAGCATCTCCTGCACTCAGAAGCATGGATGGAGACCCTTCTGCACCCAGAAGCATGGACGTGAGTAAGGGCACAGGTTCACCCTTACAATGGCCACACGGCCAGCAACATAAAGTTGACAGCACAGCATTTGTGGAGAGGGATTTGTGTCAACAGAGACCCCTAACAAAGCAGGGACTCACTGTGCCATGAGATGCATGCCCTTACTGGCCCTTCTCTCTGCTGTCTCTGCGAAGAGGGTCATCTCCAAAAAACTGCCGCAAAAGATCCTTGTCTTCAGCTTGCCCGGTCGGACCGGCCTTGTCCCTGGCGAAGGCATTCACAAACACAGCCCACCATTCTACTTAAAATTCACACAGAGTCACAAGGACAGAGCTCAGACACCACAGAACAGAAGAACCTCTCCTCAGAATTCACACATTGCAAGGTCCTCAAACACCAGGCATCCTCAAAGCCCGTGGAACAAAAATGATTCAATCCCCACACGAGCAAGTGCAAGCCCCTTCACACTACCCATAAGCAAAAACCTCTAGAGCCAGGCATGCAACTTCTCTAACATACACTTTTCACCCGGAGACAATGTACAGTCATTATTGCTACAAGTGGACCCTGCCACGGCTACGCCATGGCGCACAGCAACACTCACATTGGCGCCGTATTTTTGTTTTCTTTTCTTTTCCCCAATTTGGACCAAATCTCAATTCACTGCCATAAATTTGCTTTTCTTTTTTTTCAAAAAAAATGACAAAAATGACAAATTCCGTGATGTGGTCCTCAATCGCATGAAAGGAGTTTCTGCTTCGAGTTTCCTTTTTTTTTCTTTTTCCCCCAAAAGTGGCAAATTCCGAATGCCGTGATCCATCCTCTTTTTGGTTCAATTTTCCTCCATCCATCTTGATCGAGACCATATGGTTCTCTTCTCCTTCGAATCTCGATGGCATCTGTCAACATGTCTTCTTTCGTCCTCCTCCTTCCTGCTGAGCCTTCCCGCCTGATTCCCGCCAT